TTATCATTTACTTTTCACCAAATGCTACGGACTCCTCTTGATCGGGTTTGTTTACATTTGGCCAGCATTTGAGCTTCATGAACGTCTGAGATTGGTGGACCAATCAGAGAGCGGCACAGAGATGGCAACACTCTCCTGTATAGGTACTCAGGTAGATCAAGCCTGCACTGAGGACTTTAATTCGACCCTGCCGATATTTACTGAATGAAAAGTTTTCTCAATGCAAATTTTGGCCACGCATATCCAAAATATCGATCTGTTGGAGGCAAATAGTCAAATCACGCATTTTGTCAAATGCGTAGGCGAATAGTCAAATATTTTTACTTAGATTGAAATTTTGATTTTTTACCCTAATTTTAGACAAAATAATTCGTTGCTACTGTAAGAAAGAATTTTCTGTAAATTATACGGCATACAATAGTATTTTAAACGGTTTTAAGATTCTGAATGCAAATATCTTATGAAATTTTCGGCACGTCATAAAACATAGAATTTTTAAAATTTTAACATTTAAATGTACTGATGGCATGTAAAAAGGAAGGAACAAGGAGAGTTCGCGGATTTGAAGAGTTATTCTTCCCAAAATATTGAAAACCCGTGGACCCCTCACCATTAATTTACAAAATTCCGTAAACCGTCAAAATTTGACTATCGGCCTAGGCATTTGATAAAACGCCTGATTTGACTAATTGCCTTCGACAGATCCACAATCCCAGCGAAAAATATTCTCCTAATCTGCCAGTCCGGTTTATAAATAACCTCTGCCATATTCAATGCGTGCTCTACTTTCAAATTGCAAATTAGTTCTTTCACGAAACTGTATTAATCGTGGCTTACTTTTATAACTGTGCGTTAAAGTCTCTCTGTTGTGTAGCGAGAATGGTTTCGGCGAATCCACACAATGTGGGGCTACATAAGTACACAACCCATCACTCACCTCCTATGCCCTCGTGGATTCGTACAGCAGGATACATCGAATGACCATGTTATACCGTTAATTAGTTGATACACGCCTCGCCCAATCATACTTAATCAGCTGATTCTACGACTGAGTTATATAACTCGAAACTTCCGATTCTCACCCTCTCGGATTTGATTATACAACATCCCCGCGAAAATAGGGCGAAAGTGCGAATTCTGAACAACTCCAGACGGACGATTTATGTTTACACGAAAGTGAACGGGCGGCATTTCTCACATCCACCACAAATCGTGCAGGTCTGTGTCCATAATCAAGTCGTTGAGTGATTCAGTAATCTGCTAATAATCCGCGCGACTGATAAATTATATAAGCCTAGTTACTGTCCGCTCGAGAATTAATGCGCTTTATCATGTTTAAAATAATTAAAATTCATTTATTAGCTGAAAATATTTAGATCCATCCAAACGTCAAGTTCCTGAATTTTAACTGGAGAAGATACATAGGGTGTTCCAAAAGTAATGCACTTTTTTTTTCGGACAAATTGTAGGAGACATCAACGCTGTAACTTCAATTTCGGACTTCACTGGGAAAAAAAAGACATTGGATCTAGAGTCCAGACTCTTAAAAACATGGACAAGAAAAAATACTCTTGATTCAATCATATTTAAGCTTAAATCGAGAACCAAGCCATCCTTAATTTGAGCGGATTTCCATTTGATTTAAGCTTAAATCTGATTGAATCAATAGTCCTTTTTCTTGTCAATGTTTTCAAGAGTCTGGACTCTAGATCCAATGTGGTTTGTTTTCCAGTGTTATAGAGCTCGGGTTGCTCTTATATAGGCCATCATTAGGTCTCTAAAACTAAACAAACCGCATTTTGACATCTGCTACCGTTCTTTGTATCCGTTCGACTGTATCCTCCCCAATTAGAGTATAAACTATAAAACTGTCAAAAAAATAAGAATGATATAAAAGGTAGAATAAAAGGCATAGAGACGGTGAATTCGTCACTTCCCTCACAAAAAAATTGTCCCAAATTTCCAAGTTGCCAAATTTTCCCTTGCAAATTGCATTTTCGAAGAATGGATGGAGAACCTCGAAAATGTCTCACTGAAAATCGTCACTCCTCTGACGTAAGGGCGTATCTCAATTTCCACGTGAGCCCTGTGCTCCATATATCTCTAAGTTGTTCGGGGCTCGTGTGAAATTAGAGATACGCCCTTACGTTAGTGAAGCGACGAAATATCACTAATTTTTCTTCTGCGCTGAAAAAAAAACTCCGGCCATGGGAGCCGCAATTACGGGCTATATAGACATACCGTTCGTTCCGGGCTCAAAAGCCGAAAATTCCGGCTGCTGGAGCCGTAGCTTTGATTGCTCCGGGTTCAGAGGTCGAAGCTACGGCTCCAGCAGCCGGAATTTTCGGCCTTTGAGCCCGGAACGGACGGTATGTCTATATAACCCGTAATTGCGGCTCCTACTGCCGGAGTTTTTTGGCGCGTATACGTAGTATACCGCCTTTGCGATCGTTTCGACCCCCCCCCTCGATACAATAACCGAGTCCCCTAGTTCCTTACCGAAAAGTGACTACCGCGAACTTCTGAGATTTTCCAAAGCGTGTAAAAAGTTTACTAATCCGTCAATAATAATGATTAAAATTTGTTTCTCATTCTGGGGCTCGCTAGTTTATGTGTAATGAATACCAAGAGTCTACGTTTCTTGGTTTTTTTTAAAAAAACCTTAGAATGGGGCGCGCTGATTTAAAATATGCATATATAAGCGGAAGCAAGCGAACTGATTCGAGGATGGCTGACCAGTTCGGCACTCCTTGAATGAGAATTTCACTCACTCCGTTTTGTTCACAACGTTGCTTTGACATATCTCCACAACACTGTTATCCTTTTCAAAAGTTGGTACTCCTTGCTCTGATAGCCGGGGCCACCAGGATAGTGGTAAGTGCAATCTGTGATGAGCCTCGAGACTCATTAGACCATTTGCTAAACGTGGCTCATACAGGAGTCCACTAAGCCCTCTCGTCCCCACGCTCCTGATCACTGCGTCGGCGTCACGAAGAACAATGGGCCTTGGGTCCCAACGCGGCCGATACCCGTACCCCAATTACTCACGCTTCATTAACCATTTCACCGTCACGCTAGGATTCATCCAATTTTCAAAAAAAATTGTTTCGCATGTATTTAGCAATTTTTTCCTTACTCTCCGTTAAAACACAAATAAAAAGAGACCTCATTCATAAAAATCGGCCGAATAGAAGAGAAGTTACAGTAATCGAAATCCGAAGAAATCAACAAAACCTCGACTCCTCGATACGAAAAATAAAATGAAGGGGAAAAAAAGAAAGTATAAATTACAATTAAATATAATTGACCTCAAAATTTGACAAACAATTCATTTATATACCTAACGCTGAAAAAACTGGGAGAAATTACAAAAAATTTGCCTCTTGCAAGGGGCTTCTTTGTAAGAATTTTGACCTGAAGACAACGGTCGAATAACAGCAGTACTCCATACAATACACGGTGTGCCTGAACGAGTTAAACATTTTTCATACGTCCAAATCGAAAAATCTTTATATTTTTAACTACAATGTTTCTTGAATCGTTTAAGCAAAAAAAAAAAAAAAAAAAATTCCGTCGAGATTCTGGAACGCAAAGGCGCTTTAAAAGTATTCTGGGGCTATAATAGCTAAATCACCGGTAGTAAATTCGTTATATTATTAAAAAGAAATTGACTCCATAGTTTAATTCCTTAGTTTCTTGAATACGATTATTTTAAGCACTTAAACATTTATACCACCAATTTTAGCCATGGGGTGATTTCCTGAGAGCCGATAATATCACGAATTTCTCATAGAACCCCTCAACAGTGGCTTGCTTTTTTGGCAGCCGATTCGGCCATCGAACCGGAGTTTAAATGGAAGCTGATAATAACCCAAAGCTCTGAGAAAAATTTTGAGATGAGTATAAGAACGGTTTGTTGTAAGTAGCGAGGAGAGGCGGGCAAAGCGGCTAAAATCCTATCTAATTTTTACAGTTTTTCTGTTGAATTAATGTTGCCGCGGGCTTCTGACTGTCCACACATAGTTCTGTTCAGCATATCGATACATAAGTATTTACATTTTACATACGTAGAATCTAATTTTCACGTCGGGGAGTTGACATATTTTGATTTTTTCGATTTTATACGGAAAATTGATGGTTTTTCGGGATTGAAATTATTATTGTTTCATGAAAAATAAATGCACCCAAAATGACTATAGCATATTGATTCTTACACATTTGCACTCACAAAATTGGTTGGTAAATTCAACGAGTGGGTGCATCGACCTGGTATATCAAGTTTCTGCAATTTTTTACGGCAAATCAGTAGATTTTCGGGATGTAGATTGCTTACTTTCAATTCATGAATGAATAAAGCAACGACATGGTTGAACTTCTTTGCATGGAAAGACGTTTAAAATAACAAAATCAAGACGTATTTAATGCAATTGCATTTATATCGAGTCAATTTCTTTTCAATAATATAACGGGATTTTTACTACCGGTGATTTGGGTATTTTAGCCCCAAAATACCTTTAAATCGACTTTATCTTCTAGGAGTTCGACAGAATTTTTCCTTTCTTCGCTTAAATTATTCCGTAGCACTTTTCTTCAAGAATCTGATAAGATTTTGCTTGAGGCAGATCAAAAAACTTAAATTCGATCGAATAGCTTTCTACTTTCACAATACACGGTCTCGTCAAGGTGCGTCTTTGACCTCGCAGTGTTGGATCGTGAATTCTCTTTTTATGCTGTTTGCCTATTTTGAAATCTCTGTAAATGAAAACTAAAGGGGTTGATATGTGCGAGTTAATGACGCGCCTTATCAACACATTGTGTTGGAGTTCACTGCTTGTTTTTTCAGTGTGATCATCAGAAACAATCAGAAACATTTTGGACAAAAATTGCGCGGGTATATTCTTGCAAAAAATTGAGCTTTAATAATCAATTTTGCAACTTTGGAGTTACGCTCCGTCGTTCGGGAAAAGACGAATGTATGTTAGGAAGAGAAGGAGACTAACCTGACATTTGGCCTCTGGATCAGGCTGGAGTTGACCGGACCTGTCGCAGACGAATTTAGTGGTTGGCATCGTTTGGTAGTCGGGGTACTCTGACACTTGATTCGTGACCAGAGTGTAATCGGAGATCAAACCACCCTCGGGCCCGGTCGCGTGCACCCCTTGAGGGGGCTTCGCCTCCCGCAGGTGCCGGGCTAGGAAGTCCGGGAACAGCACGCCGAAACCTCCCCAAACCTGAAATCAGTATTGAAACGTTCACCAAATTAGGCGCGTAAAGACAACAGTGGCGAGACATGAATGGTCGATTATCAATATTTACACCATTTAAAGCCATGGTAAAGAATCTATTATTAAGGTGCTTGTTGAAAAAATTATTTTTTTGATCCTTCTTTATAGTATTAAATGGCAGGTCAATCGATGTATCGCAAAGCACGCCACGCTTTGATACACGGACAAAATTGAAGAAGTGGGAACAAGAATCTAGAGGTTACTAACATCGATCGACAGCGATTCGATGAATCTATCGGAAGCCTTCGATGGATTCAATTCGAGATGGATGGATGGATTCGAATGGATTCAAGCCTTCTTCGATTGTCAATCAATTCACGCGCGAGTTATTAGGAAAAAGCCGCATGAGTATTCAAATTTTGCAAAAACTCCATTGATAAATTATGCATTTTTGAAAAAAATTAAAAATATTTATCCTTGAATGTTTCAGATACTTCAGATTAAACTGTGAACAAAATTCTCTGAAAAATTGGAATAAAAACATCCAAAAGTTTTCCAGGAAACAATGTGGTAAACTAAAGCTGGATCTGCATTGTTTAGCGAGAAAAGCAAAGCCAAACATTTCGAAAATTTCAATTGGAGTCAAAAATTACGAATTGGAACTCAAAATGTTTGACTCTAATTGAAATTTTCTAACTTTTCGGCCTAGCTTTCCCCGCAAAACAGTGTGGACCCAGCACTATTCTGCCGTGTTAGGGAAAAACGCCTTATGAACCTTTAGACGTGGTCAAATTACCTTTGAGAGAACACGAATTTCCTGGTAAACCGATGAGTATTTTTCTTCCAATTTTTTCGATAATTTTGTTCACAATTTTATCTAAAGCTCCTGAAAATTTCAAGGAAAAATATTCTCAACTTTACTCCAAAATAAACGCTTTATTGAAGGAAATTTCAAATTTGGCAACTATCAAATGTTCATACGCCTTTCTTTCTTAGCACGGCAGTAATTTATCACCTTGCTACTAACAGTTCGGGCCACATTTTTTAGTTTTTTTTCTCTTTCCCAGGAAATTAGTGTTTTTATGAACGGAAATGACAACATCTGAGTGTAGGTACATACGGCGTTCTTCTTTACCACGGCAGTATGAAGCTACAAAACTTCAAAACCAAAGACAATCGACCGGCGATAAAGCGCTTAGAGACCCGAAACAAAAGGTCGTAAACATTTGGCTCAGCTTGAGATGAATACTGTTCGCGGCTCATAGTGATTACGCGGTGCGCATGCGCAGAGACCGCACACGGAACTAACAGTAGCAGACCCCATGCCTAATGTTAAGTGCAAGTTGCCCAGTTTGGACGAAACCGCTTTATTACCTCTGATGGTCGGATCCCAGCTCTTTCGATACCTCAACTCGATATCGACATCCTATTCACATAGTTCCTTTTAGCATAAGGACGTCCAATTCAGATATGACCGGTTCTCTATCCTAGCGCCGTTGACTGAGAAAAGAGCTGGTGAATGATATCATTCATGGGTTCCATTCGATTATCGAATTTCGATATCTTGGATTGTAAAGCCCGGAGAGATGAGATGATGGATGGCCTGCTGCCGTTTTATGCGCTCTTTCCTTCCACCGCGATTATTCAAATTACGCATTGTTGACCCGCGCCGCAACTTGTAATTATCGCGAAGAAATCCCGACTTTATGATCCGTATGAAGAGCAAGTGAAAATAAGTGGTTAGAACTGCACAACAGACAGATCCGTCATACTGTCATGCCGAGAAAAATAAAAACGCCGTTAGAACGTTCAAACTTTATAAAAAACGAATTTTCTGTAAAGCTAATGCGTAATTTTCTTGCAAATTAACATTAAATTTTATTCACAGTGTTATCAGGTGTACCTAAAAATTGCAAAGAAATATTTTCACGATTTTCCCAAAATAATAAATATTTTATCGGTGATAGACATTGCCCTGACACGCTCCTGTTCTGTGACAGACGTTGCTCTTGTCATTCGAGAATAAACTTCATCGAAAATTAAGGTCTCCTTGCACAAGTTAATTTAAAATGTAGTACCTCTCAATGTTAACAATCCAAATCCCAAATCAAGAATTGATTTTGACCATCACTAGAAAGGAAAAACATGAGTTTTTCAGCGAGGAATGAAGTTGGACGCAAGGTTAACAGGTCGGGTTTCAGGACAAGAAACGACAATTGCCTAGACAAAGCTATAGTCAAAGTATTCAAAAAAGACATGGAGAGATTCCATTGGTGGAGGCGGGTGGTTAGGATGGACAGAGGAGATAAGTAATAGACTAACCAACGGTAACCGAGAAGAGAATCTTCAGTTAGTTCATAATTTTTCCCCTTAATCTATAAGAACCACCAGTTTCAACCAATGGAATTCCTCCATACTCCCTAATCTCTTCTTCGTCTATAGCTTTGTCTGTCAATTTCAATAATCAGACCGCTGGACCAAAATCTGGGATGTTTCACAAGAACCAAAGTTTTTTCTCTCCATGTGTGTGTCTTCCATTATTTCTAGCGAGTCACGTATCGGCGAACTGATTAGTAATGCTGAACCTCCATTGGACCGCACGAAACAGACGTTGATTAAAGTTCCCGTAACTACCGGCACTCATTCGATATGAATTGAGAGCACTTCCAGAAAGTCATAGAGCTGTCGGAGGAATACCATTTTAAATTGTCGGCGGTAGTTTAAGTGGCATTTGTTTTGATATTTGGATGCAGTTAAAGTCAAAAGGAACTAACTCCATCGTGACCTGAGCCCTGACGCCCATAGGAATACGTGCATGAAAATGCCCACGTTACGATAAAGATAGTTCCTTTTGACTTAAATATGTTCGCTGACGGGTGGCGGTAATCAGCCGGCGGCTTTCCACAATAATCTCCGTTCTCACGTAGGTAATGTCAATTTCTCGGTCACTACGTGCTCGAGTCTATATGTGTCTCTTTCTTCCTACACTCCACGCGAATACTATTTCCGGAAGCCGTAGTGCTACTACGCTCTCATTCAAGACTCTTAAAATAGGCAGTTTTATATTTTTAGCGGCACCCATTTATCAAGGGTAATAGAATGGGTACACGGACAAAAAGTGTTCGGGGTTATCCCAAAAAATTATGATATTACCCCTATTTGTTGGATGATATGGGCACTTCCAATTAATTGTGATAGTATCACAACTCAAGTTATAGGGTGGTACCGCAGTATTTGGGTTCGTAACCTAATTTAATGGGGCACTACCACACTTAATTGGAAGTGCCCATATCATCAAACAATCCCTACCCCTCTTTTCCGTGCAGTATATCCGTGTATGGTGCGTCTTAAAGGAGCCTCATACACAGATTTATTTTCCTGGACTAAAAATCTGCCAGTAAAAGCTCCACGAGCTAACTGAATTTTCCCACTTAAATCGGCAAAGCTTGCATGAGATAAGTCCGTAAAATTTGTGTTTGTTCTTTCGAGCTGTATGGACAGCTTTCGACACATAGGCCGCATCAGTTAATGGCTTAGAAAGATCAATCGTGACAAGTGGAAAGATTTTTGAAATTGATAGACAAAGCTCTAGACAAAAAATATACGGGGAAAATGGAGCGATCCTTTTGGTTGAAACTGGTGGTTGATGGACTAGGACTAGTCGCCGTTACCTACTTTGTCCATTACAATCGCCCACCTCTACCAATAGGATCGCTCTATTTCCTCCTTGAGTTTTTTGTCTATCGCTTTGTCCATCAATTTCAATAATCAGCCTGCTGGTTGTGAAGAGGACATCGATGAGAGAGAAAACTGCACGAAACTTAAAATGACTTATTACGCGAGCCATTCCACTGTGACAGTCCATCCGCAATGTTAACACTGTTGCCCGGTGTGGTATGTTTTCATACCTAAGAAGCTCGTACATTTAGCTTAATTTCAAATTGAATAATAGCTACTGACGATATCATAGACAAATCAGTCCTACTTTAATAAGTAGAGTCAGTTTCAAAACATGTTCAAGGAGTCCTGGTAATTTTGAATAAACGCTCAACTGGTGGAGGAACGAGACGCACTTGTCAACGCTGATCGCGCAAATATTCCGGTGATCGAATCTTGAATCTCCTAACTCTGCCGCGCTAAGGAAGAACGCCGTATGAACACTCAAGAGTTGCCAAATTTCCTCCGATAAAATGTCTATTTTTGAGGAAAGTTATGAATATTTTTCCTTGAAATTCTCAGACTTTTTACATCAAACTACGAACGAAATCCTATGAAGAATTGGCGGAGAAATATAAACCAATTTTCCTGAAAATTCATGATTTGTAGAAGGAAATTTGGCAACGCCTGAAGGCTCATACGGCGTTCTTCCTTAGCACGGCAGTGCTGATGAGCGAATTTCATAGCTATAATGATAGACTACCGGCGGTGTTGTTGTTCAGCACTGGAGCATCTTTAACCAAATCCATGGTTGTCACTTTCCCGGGCAAGATCTGGAGGTTTTCTTCTGATTCTACCAATTTTAAAAGAAAAAACATAATCTCTGAAACTTATAATGGACCACTAGACAAGGTACGAAGTTAAGCATTCTGATACATATTTTCCGGCCAAAATTTCACGTAAAACAGGATTTGTGCGCCGAAAATTACTGACATTAACTTCTAAGTAAGACACTTGATGTTTTTTAGTGCGTCAATTTAAACCTCTCGCTCATGAAAACGCAATAGCCTACGCGAGTCAGATCGCACACTAAACTTCACTATGACAATCTCAGTAATATGAAAATCTTGCAACCTCAGTCTTAAAGCTTTGGCTCAGCTGTGGCTAATTGTCTACAATTTGAACAATAAAGGGTGGGAAGGGGACAATGCTCGATTGAGAATCCGGCCGAAACTTTTGTAAGGCGCGATTTGGCTTCCAGGACTTTATGTCCACCTACATTTCGTCCATTAAATAAATGTCCATCGCTATTAATGTCCACTAAACGTTAAGTCCAGTCTTTATTAAGT